TCTCCAAATAGAAACATGGTTAGGCCTATAATAGTAACACCCCAGTCCCTGATACCAACTTTTATCTTAGGGTTTTTATTGCTGTGAAGAGACACCATGACCATGACAACTCATAAGGAAAACATTTTATTTGAATGGCTCACTTAAAGTTTCAGAAGTTTAATCCATTATATTGATAGTGGACATGGCAGCATGCAGGCAGACTTGGTGCTGGAGAAGTAGTGTATTGGAATGTTCTATTCTGTTTGCCACAGATTCTACATTTTCTTTTAAATTACTCTGAATAGGAGGAGAGATGATGGGGTGTACTTAATCATGTCCCTCAAACTACAAAATCCAGCAGCCCTACTGCCTATCTTCCACTGTGCTTTGTAGCAACCCATTCACATTGATATTGCTTCTGCAACTTCTCTGACACTTCTATTGGTCCTGGGATCCTCCACAACTTTCAAAGCTCCCAACAGCCAGCCAGCACCTTGTTGTGTGAGACGATTGCTCCACCCTTGCATCTCAATTTCAAATACAGCTTCTCTGCCTCTTTGTCCAGATGTAGCTTTAGCTCCTCTGTGTCTTGCTGGTCTAGAGACTCAGCACTCATTCAATAATTTTATTTGTACTTTGCAGTTATGAACTCAGTGCCACATAAATGTGCATATTTTCCCACACAGCATGTCCTTCAAATCTGAGTCCAATTCCATCAGCTTTTTGTCTCTCTTCCCCATCCTTGTGAACACATGCACACATACACATGCAAACACATATATATGAGAGAGAGGAAGTGTGTGCAGATCACTATAAACTTTTCTTGCATGGACACGCACAGTGAACATGTCATTGGCCTAGGCGGTCAATTTTTAGTGTAAAGATCTCTCCTGTACTGTGCCTCCCATGTCCTCATCAGCTCTATTTGAACCACAATCTGCTCTACTGCTTCATTGCATTATTCCGTACAAGCTTCACTAATGACCTCCCTGTTGATCTAGCCAATGGTTGCTGTCACCCTGTGTCGGATGAAGCTGTCAATAGATAGTCTAGAAACACCCTCTACTACTATTTTCTCGTGGCCCTCAGCCTCCATCACAGACATCTCTCTTTGTTGTAGGCTGAATCTATCAGACTAGAGTATTTGTTCGGTTATTCAAATGCTCCAAAATATAGTCAAGTTTTATACATGCCATTTCCACTTTCTGTGGACATGTCCTTGCTTGCAGTGTATATGTGGATCTGAAGTTTTATTTCTTAATCAGACACCTCCTGGGTGCTGAGAAATAATAAATGTGCTTGTTTTGCTACTTACCAATTATTTCCTAACACTATTAATGATAAGAATGGCAGACAAGTTTTGTTGCATACTGACCATGCATGACATAATATATAATGTTTCATGAGACCACAAGAAGTTAGAAGTGTTCTGAATCTCATTTTTACATATATGTAGGGCCTAGTGATGCTAAAATAATTTATTTGTGAATATTTATATAGCATCTATTTGGGGACCTAGAATTCAACCCCTGCCTGCCCTATCTGTAAGAGAGCACAGAGGATTGAGCTCTGCCTGGTGCTGTCTCTACTTCCACTGTCAGGTCACATGTTCTGAACCCAACAGTCTTCTGCTTGCCTCATCAACCTCAGCACCTGGTACAGCCATATAGACTACATTATCTCTAGCTCAAAATTCTTAACCTTCCCTAGCATCTTGATCATATGAAACCCTAGGTAATTAACAAGCTAAGGGTCTTTCATGATTTGTATGAACTAGTGTTTTCTCTCTTAGCTTAAGAGATAAAGCATGTTGTATGTGATACAGTTGGGTACAAGCTAGGGCAGAAACACATGAGCTTTATGCCTAGCAGCTCTGATTTCATCCTTAAACCAAACACATAGCAAGCAGGACACACAACAGTTTGATGTTTGTTATTAAATTTGATAATTCACAACTAACAAGGGGTGCTTGCTGTTATTCTGATAAATGGCTAGTTTTGTTCACTTATGAAAACACAGCTGCTATGTTAACATTTTGTTAGATGCGGCTTGAATAATAAGTTGCATTACAAATAGCTAGTGAGAGAAAAACACTCCTCTGCACACATGCATACATACGTACGCACACGTGAAAAAAAACCTAAGCAATGAATGTAATTTTTTTGGAATGGAACATTAGAAAGTACTATGTAATCTAGGGAACTGTTCTCTCAGCAGTAACTAAAAGCTCCTCTTCCATCTCTCATGTCCTTATTTCTGTCTTGTCACACTGGTCACCTGGGAAGAGCCTTCTCCCCTTTGTCTACTCCTACGCTCAGTTTAATGAACTGTTTGTCTTATCTATTAGAAATCCCCATAGTTGCTCTCTACTGTGATTCTTCCGGCGTTTTCTTCCTGAAATTCTTCTTGAAACACTGTTCTGATATGCAATGTCCCTACTGAATATTCTTATGAGATGTCCCTGTTGACCACAGGATAGCAAGATTCAGTGCTAGCATTAGGCTGGACAGCCTCCCAAGTCACCTTAATTTCCCACAGTTACTCTTCACACTAACACTTGTGAAAAACTCTTCCTATTTCTTTGTCAATCATCACACATTTCTGTTTTAAATTCCCTTAGGTTGCCTATCTATGCAACTTGGCAGCCTGGAAGCCCCTCTTCTTGTTGTGACAGGCACAGGCTTATGAAAAAAGACTCTTCCTTGGAGTATTGGGGTTCGCCTGAACCTTAGTTTTATATTTTCAAATCTCCAACTTCCTTCTCCTAGCCTATGCTTTATATATAATGTCAAGAGGGTATATGAATTCTTTCTGAATATTCCATTACAACCCAGGCTAGGACCTGGTAAAGATGAGTACACAGAGAATATCTGGAGGACAAGGAAACAATAACATTGAGTAATCTACACAAGTTCTTGTAAGTATAGTAACGATGTGCTTATGAGAAAGTTGGTAAAGTGCTTAATCTCAACCTGTAAAAAGGTACCTGGGATTCTCTGTTGGAAGATCGAAAGAAAGATTTGCCTATTTTGGCTACCCAGGATTCAGTCACTCTTTCAGTAATGCCTACTGGTCCTTGGAGACTATTCTAGGCCTAGGAGAACACATAAATCTCCTTAGGACAGACAATACCAGATACATCATTTGAAAACATCAAGGAAAACAAAAAACAAAGGACCACTTCTTTAGAATGTCTTAAGAAATTTAAGAGGGTGATAACAGTGTTTGGATTAGGGAAAAGCCTTGTGAAATTACATAGGTCACATGCTGACCAAGGTGGTTCTTCCAAGGAGCTATGAAGCATGAGAGGCCTAAAGATGCTCTGTAGTCATTTCTCCTCTGCTGCATCAGAGGAGAAGTCTCAACCTTCCTAATGCTGTGACCCTTTAATACAGTTCCTCATGTTATTGTGACTCCAACCGGAAAGAACCACTCCCCTGAAGGGAAGCCCCTTTATACTGGGCTAAATGGTACTAGGCTACATAAAGCTTTATGTCTACCAGTAAGGAATGTTTGTTGAGTGCGTTCTGTGTAATCAGTGTCTTCTAACTTTGAGGGATGCAGTTGAAAAACTGAGAGATATATGGTGTGCAGGTGTGTTTGTGTGTGTGTGTGTGTGTGTGTGTGTGTGTCTGTCTCTCTCTCTCTCTCTTGCTCTCTCTCTCTCTCTGTGTGTGTGTGTGTGTGTGAGAGAGAGAGAGAGAGAGAGAGAGAGAGACTGAGCTTACTTCAGTAATGACATCAACTATATATATATATATATATATATATATATATATATATATATATACTCAAAAAGAAATGCCCATGAAAATAAACAGGTAGAGAGCAGTGCTTAGAACATGACAAAGCAGAGTGATGCAATAGGGAGGGTGTGCAGAGGGTTTATTAGATTAGTGTGCTATAGCAAAGCCTCTCTTAGAGCCTTCAGGCCTACAGTGCTTTCTGGAGCAACAGGTGAAGGAGGATGCTGCTAGTGTCCAATAAGAGCTTGCCATGGAAATCTCTGAAGTCAGTTCAAAGGGTCTATACAAAAGAAGTACTCCAAGAATGCTGGAGATTCTTGGTATGCTACCTCACCTCGAGGCTTTCTCATTTCTTCCTTTGGTATTCTCTAGAGCAGAGACCTAAGAAAAATTCCCCTGCCCTATTGCAGAGAGGCAGTTTCCAAAGCCTCCTCTGACACCTAGATCCCAAGCCTGAACAGAAAACAATGTTGAGTCCATACCCCTGAGGGATTCAGTCTTCCAGTGATTGCCTTTGCCTGATCCCCAGCTGGTTACTGTTCCCTTGCCTCCTGGAATTGACCTATAGATGGAATCAGATCAGAGGTTACTAGGGAGAAGCCCTAAACACCTCTTCCTGCCTGCACTAAGGATGGTACTGAGTTATCCAGCTTCCTTCAGAGGCCAGCAGATGTGCTCAAAAGGGCTGGAGGGTGTGGAGCAAGACCAGGAAAAATCAGCAAGGCTACGGGGAAGATGGGGAAGAGCAATGGGGCTCAACAGGTAGTAGGGAAGAACACAAGGACCTCAGAGCTAATCAGGGGTCTGGAAGGGGTCGCAGCAAAGTGCCTCCCACCCGCCTTCCTGCGCGCGCCTGGCCCAGCCAGTGGAGGCTCCCCAAGCCACAACCGCTAGCGCGTTTTCCCCAAGCCCAGGGCCTCACGCTGCAGGCTCGCCTCCTCCTCACTCCTCCCGCCCTCCCCCCCCCGCCCGCCCTGGCTGTCTGGCAGCGCCGCAGTGCTGGCTGCTGGGGGCCCTGGCGACAACGCTCCCTCCTCTCCACCCCCCTGCCTGCCCACCCCAGCCTTGCTCCCCGCTGCCGCAGTGATCACGTCGTCGGAGATTTCCATCGGGGCTCAGGGGGCGGGCCCACGGTGCGGAGCGGAGCGCGGGCTGGGGCGGGGCGAGTGGGAGGAGTGAAAGTTGAAGCCCAACAAAACCATCCACCTCTCTCTAAGCGGCCAGACCTGCGCTGCGACCTCAACACAGGTGGTCGTGCCAGGCAACGCCGAGATGTTGCCCAAAGTTCTCCTGATGCTCCTCAACATATTCCTGGCTCTCCAGTGGAGGTGAGTCTCCATCCCAGCACCCGAGAGCCCACTGTGTCCAGCAGGCTTCCGGGACCCCCAGGGTTTCTTGATTCCCAGCTCCCTCTGTGCCAAGGCGTTGTCCTGATGGCAAGGCCAGCCTGGACCCTTGTCCCCTCGACGCGCACCACCCTCCCATGTGCCCCCTTGTAGGAAGGCGTCCCGGGCTGACAACGGGGAGCGCGGGGAAGGCAGGTGGGACTGTCTTATGTTGGCGTCGTGGACTCCGGTTGGCCCTCAAAGCCCTGGAGCGGGCGGCCAAGCAGCAAGAGCACCTGGTTCCCTTTCACAGTCTGACGCAGGAAGAGGGGAAAGGGCACGCAGAAACATCTAGAGCTAGCGCGTACAACTCAGGGTGGCTGGAGACTTTGGGAAGGTGGTTCCTGGGCTGAGGGGCCTGAAGTGCCTCGAAATGCTTGAGTGTTTCCTATTCTGTTCACTCTTGCTCACATTTTCCCCCCAGAGCGCCTGCTGAGTACTAGGCAAGATGCCAGGCAACTCTGACTTTACTTGTTTCCCCATCCCGTCGCATTTTCTTCCAGTCTCAGGCAGGAGCCTGAGCCTTGGTTATCTCAGGGTTCCCATCCTTTCTGCCTTCCTTTTTCCCTTCTCACCCTAAGGCACCCTGCTTGGTCTTGCAGGCAGACCTGAGCCAGAGGCTGGAATGTTTATCTTTCCTGAGGTCTGTGGTTTGTGGCCTGGCTTTCTAGCCCCCTCCCTTTTTTTGTTTTCCATTGAGTATCCAGCCTTCCTCCATTAATCCCCTGACCCTGGGCATTGGTAAAAAGAGTGTCCCTAGGATTTCTGGCGTTTTACGGTGGAAGATGACTGCTTCGTGTGTTTTTAAATTCCCTTTTCTTTCTTTTTTTTTTTCTTTTCTTTTTGGAGACTGTTTTTCTGTGGGGTGCGAGCTGTCAGAAGTTTCTAGCTTCTTCATTTGTCGAAGTTTCTAGAAGTCTCCATGGCATTTGGCTTGTGTCTTTTCATTTGTTTGTTTTGAGGAGGGGCAATGTGTCTTCTCTCCCCACCCAGTTATAGACCCTCAGGGAGGACTATGTGGCTCTCTGCTGACTCCCTGGTGCCCTAAGGTGAGGCTGGCCTCTGCAGGGGCTTGGTAAATGTTTCTTAATGTGAATTAGCAATTTCTTGTTATCTATGTCCCTTTAGATGGGATTTTTCTGGGACAAAAGATGGCTGAGGATGAGGGAGGGGGCGTGAAGAAGAAGGGAGGGAGATGAGAGGGAAAAACAGCCCATCCAGCGGGGGTGGGGGGAACAGACACTGACGTGTGCACACACTGTCAGCATGGCAACCTGTGATGTCAAGAAAGGGGAGGTGGCAGTGGAGTGTTTTGGGCCAAACTTCGATTTGATCCAGGCTCAGCTTCAAATCAGATGTATGATTTTGAGCATAGTTCTCCCCCATACGGTTTATCTATCAATAAATGGAAAAGACCAGCATATTTGAGAAAGAAACCCAGGGCCTTCCTTGGGCTCTCTTGCTCTCATCTTCAGCCAGATTTGGAAGGTGGTAGTGCAGAGCTTCAGTCTCATCCAGGATTATCACATTTGGAGGGCTGTAGAGGTCTGAAAAGTTTCCTTGGAAAATCCCACTAGGCCAATGTGCTTTTCTAAGCTTTATTCTTTCTAGCCTTGAAAAAGAGCTTGGTGGCTTTTTGGAGGTGGGTATGTATACACAGGAGCTTCTTAACCCCAAAGATCTCAAGGTGTGGCTGTTTGTTTACACTGACAAAATCAAATTGAAGGATCACCCCCCACTCATTATTTTCTTTGAAGGCCTAGTAGAGGGACTCTGATCCTTATTGTTGACCCTTTCTCTTCAGAGACCTAGGGGATAAGCCTCTAGATGCCTCGGAGACTTGAAAAGCCTTAGGGAAGAAGACATCATCTAGAGATGGTATTTGAAAATGGAAATGCTTTTCCCAAACCCAGTCCTTGCTTAGCCCACTATGGAAATTAGCCATTTCACAAATGAGAAATGGCACCAGCTTAGCACATCTGTATGCCAATTAAACTATTCTAAAAGCTCAGAACACTGTAGGAAAAATATGCACTTTGATGCTCAATTGTCTGTTCCCTGATCTGCAGCACAGGGACCTGCTCATCCTAGTATCTTGCTTCATTTTAGGGATTAACTTTGCCTGGTAGCTTCTGGTACTATTTTACAAGTGTAATACACAAATATGAAAACACAGCAATCATAAATGAACAACAGCTTAGTGAATTTTCTTAAAGTAAGCATGATCAGGTAACCAGCACCTGGATGATAAGGAAACAATCTCCCCTGCCTCTTGCCTTTCAACATCAAATGTTAATCAGTGCTGATATCTTTTTCAAATGCTTTTAATTGTATTTTTTCAAGGATATATAGTAAACTGAATTTTCACATAGCCACCATCAGCCTTAATATTAATGAAGAAACCAATGGTTAATTATTTTCTCTGCCTGCTATCTACCAACCACCCATTTTAACAAGGATTTTTTTAATGAATAACTCTCTCAGATGATATATCATTTTGTATGTAAATATTGTAGTCATTAAGGGCTACAATAAAAATATCATCACAGCAAATATTTAAGAATGATTTATTCATGCTTTAATTATTCTCTACTATATAATTTTTACAGTTTTGGTTTTAAAAATTAGGACTCAAGTGTTATCTATATATTAGCTGGTGGGATTATTTTTTTTTTTGAGACAGGTTGGGATTTTTTTATTGTTAAAATGCCTTCTTACTGAATTAGAACCCATATACAGAAAGTTGTTGAAATAATAAGCCTACAACTAATAAGCCATCACAAAATGACCAGAGTGGGGCCCTTTCATCCTGATCTCTAGCACTGTGGGGACTTTCATATATTAACAGATGAATTTCTAAAGTGTGGTTGTTATTAAAAATATTATCATTATTATTACTATTGTCGTTATTGGCCCTGGTACCTAAGATGCTCTCCTATTGGTTATTCATTTCCTGGGTACAGTACACAATATAGAGTCAGCCACAAAGCCTGCCTTTCTCCACTTCAGAACTTCAATATGAGGATTACAGAACCATGCCAGAAATTTTCAGTCCTATCTGCTTGCAAGTATTCCTCAGCAGCTCCTGACCTTTGGCTTACCCTGTCCTCTCAGGTGCTGAGGCTCAGACAGTTGTGAGGCTTAGGTTAGTAACAGCACACAGCAGCTGATTGGCCAGAGTTCACTAACAATGCCCACCTACTTGACTGCACACAAAATGACCTTTGAAAATTTAGTCTAATGTTTGTTGTTGACTATTTTAAAGTAAAGAATTATGAAAGGAGGAGTGCATATAAAGTCACCAAAGAACAATAAGATTTAAAAGGAATTATCAAGTTTCATTTGTCAGTGCCTCCTCAGTTACTATCACTATTCACTAATTAAGCCTTGCGTTGTAAATATTTTTGGTTTCCTCCTGTCCCAATAGACAGCAGGCTGATTAGAAGGTATAACTTAAGTTTTTGATCGTATATTCTAGGGTTGGACCTCATGTTAACCTGGAGAATAAGCACCCTGTCCAAGAAAATGTAGTCTTCGGCCCTCAGCCTAGGCCTGTGCTTCAGCCTCTGCTTGAGCCTGAATCCCCTGCCAATGATGATGTATTCTTCGACCCTCAGCCACAGCCACAGGCCAAATCCCTGGGCCATGATGATGATGTAGTAGTCTTTAGCTCCCAGCCTCATCCTCTGCCTCAGCCTCAGCCCTTGCCCCAGCCCCAGCCTGAGCCAGTGCCTCAGCCCCAACCCCAACCTCAGCCCCAACCCCAACCGCAGCCCCAGCCCCAGCCCCTGGCTGGGCGCCAGCCTCTGCCCCAGCCCCTGCCCTGGCCCCTTCCTCAGCCCCAGCCGGAGCCGGAGCCCCAGCCGGAGCCCCAGCCGGAGCCCCAGCCGGAGCCCCAGCCGGAGCCCCAGCCGGAGCC